CAAAAAATGGTCCTGTTAACGCCTCAATATGTTCCTTGAGTCTCAAGGCAGTCTGTCTCCACAAGAACTGTGAGAACATGGACTCAGGAGGCCAGTGAAGCCCTGCAGGACTGCTTTGAAACAACTTACTGGACTGTGCTCTGTGAACCACATGGGGACAATATCAACAACGTCACAACCTGCATAACTGACTATACTAACTACTTCCTACTGTAATGACCACTATCCCCACTTAGACTGTGCGCTGTTTCCCTAACAACAAACCTTGGATCACCAGAGACATGAAGGTTTTTCTGAATGAAAAAAGAGAGACTTCGGATCTCGAGACAAAGACGGACTCAGCGCGAACTGAGGACGAAACTGAAAAAGGAATCCTAAAGGAGAAAGCTGGAGAGAAAACTGCAGCAGAAAAACACCAAGGATGTATGGAGGGTATGAAGCAGATGACAGGCTTCAACATCAAAGACCACTGGTGAAAGGGCTTAACAGAGTTACTGGACTGAAACTGGAGATGTTTGAGGCAGTGAAGAGCAGTAGATCTCTGAACAAAATGCTCTCCATCATGGACCATCCTTTCCATCCTCTCCATAAAACACTGCAGGGTACAAAATTCTACAAGTGACTGATTCAACTCCGCTGTCACAAAAAATGGTTCAAAAAGTCCCCATTACCGTCCACCAACAGTCTCTTTAACCGTTCATTAAGTTTATTTATTGTGTTGTTGGTGCTGCATCATAGGACTTTCCCCTTGTGGGATTTATAAAGTACTGTGAATTTAATTAAATTGAACTGACTGCCAAACTGTCCTTCACATTAATGGCAGGATATTTTCCCAAGTATCATACTGCCACTGCAGTGCATCCTAGCGCCATGTTTTTCCAAAGGGTAAGTGATGCAGACTAACCTGGCTCTCAACAGAATCACTGGATCAGGCCATACTTTTTCATTCCTCTTCTTTTTTTACCTGTGTTAATTATAGGCGCTCTGCAATATGGACTCAAATCATCCTCGTACACAGCCCCAATATTAGACAACGATGTACGCTTGTGTCCTGACACCTGTGTAACAAAACCAGCAATATCTTTTTCAGGAGTTTTATCTACTGAACAAAGGTATCAAGATGGAACAGGTCAGCCATCACTTACAGTATAAGTTCTAAGAATGTTATGGCCCAGCTGTCTAACCATCAAAATGTGGCCACTGTCAGCCTCAGTGACATCCTTTCACTTTTAAATTAGTTTCTACTTCCACATCAACTTAAACTATACTGGCTTATTTTGTAATTTATGGTTAATCTTTCATGCAAATATAATGAGAAAATCAATGTTTGTTATTTAAGGTGTCAATGGTCATGAATTGATTAGTAATCAGTTTGTAATAACGCACTACAAGAACATTCTTATAAACCTAAATAAAGACATTGGTTTAAATAGGGTATTTATCAATGGAATCACAGCAAAAAAAAACTTTTTGAATTGGCCATGACTAAACTAAACTCCATTTTTTATCCTGTATTTAACACTCTGATTGCAGATAGGATGAGCTCTTTAACTTTGCTAATGTAATTACGCAATGCAGAGATCAGAACAAGAAATTAGCACCAACAGCTGATGACTAAGGGTCTGGGGGGCGTGCTTGCACAGTTCTGTCTGTCTACAACAGTGTTTGACTCTGGGTCACTGTGGCCCACAGCAAAAGAGCAGAAGGCGTATTGTAATGACAGAGAAATACATTTGCATAGTTAAAAGAAGATTAGCATAGTTATCAGACAAAGTCCAGTATTTCAAAGCAATCAAAAATGTTCTACCATTTCCTGCAGCGTTATTTTTCTGGTGTGAGTAGATAAATCGAATGTGTAAAGTCTTAGGAAATCTTGGTTTGGATACCAACAATAACTGCACTTATCCTGGAGCCATCATTACCATCTGCTGCTGTTCTCCACCACTGAAAAGCTTTGGGAGGAGGAGGGGGGATGCTTTTTTATTGTGAGGACACTTGGGAAGCAGCATGTGGCTGTGGCAGCAGAGCTCTTAATACTCAGGGTAGAGCCTTACAGCAATCAAGGTTGGACAGGGTTCCAAGAGTGCATCAAATAATTCAACTGCAGAGGCCTTCATGAAGTTAGCTTTGTGGGTGTATTTTCAGCTTAACATTTACTCCTGACCCCAGTGTTTCAGAAAAGAGACCACATCCTAACTTCAAAATAAGACTCTTGCCACATCATCAAGTTGTTTAAAGAAATCAAGCATTTTTTCAAACTGAACTTTTTCTGTGTTGCAGATTTAACCGCTTTCCTCTAACGTAACTGAGTTTGGTACCATGGTGCAGTACAAACAGGGTGATGCCTAGTCCAGCTGAGTCGTTAGTTCAGATATGTCTCTGCAGACTCTTGGGGGAATGGCCTCAGAATAGATGAATGGCAGCAGGCTTGTGCCAGGCACAGGGCCTCCTCCGCCTTTTAAAGCTTTTCTCCATGTCATTAAATTGGACAGCAGATGGAGTAAGTACCGGAGTGTTTACTAGGGAAATTTAAAGGAGCAATTGTTGTTCAGCTGCTCTTGTTTGGTCCATGTTTCTTCTTGTTGATGTGGGATGAGCCTATGTGTCTGCAACAGCACGGAATTATGTCATACATTTAGGCAGAACTCATTTATTTTGAATTTTTTGAACATATGTGGTTTAGTTTGATTCATTTTAATGTCTAGGGACAATTAAACTATAAGTTATAATCAATTGACATAGTTTGTAGCTGTTGGTTGTTGGGTGAGTGGGGGTGTGTGCATGCATGCTATGTCACTATAGGGGAAGTGCTGGTCAGGCTAAGACAGAAAAACTTAAGTGGCTCCAGCAAAAGAAGATGCTTTGTGTCAGAGCAAGACTCAAACAGGACTCAGTTGCAGAGATCTGATGCAAAAACTTTTATGGAAATAAATTGGAAGTCGCACGGAGTGGAAGACAAGGAACAGTACCAAAATAATAGTTACTCTAAAGAACGAGGATGTCAGAAAAAACCAACAAGTACAAAATAATAATCACTATGAAAAGAGGGTGTCAAAGCACAAACTAAGAACGCTCCATAATGAGGATGCAAAGGCTACTACTGTACGAAAGTGAACTCAAGACAAGCCTACGGTCGAAGACACGGATAAACACCCAGTATTGGTCAAAATACTAAACACACTGGCACAAAACAAGGACTATTTAACCCGGCAATGCCAAACATATCATATTTGATACATAAGGTTTCTGAAATGTTTTGCGTCTGACTCCTTTTGCATAATTTAATGGTAAAAACTTTGCTCAAAATCCTATTGTACACAATCAGATATACCTGATAACAGGGGGCAGAAGACTACACAAAAAATAATCTTGACCTATCGCATAGTAATAAATTATTAATATTAAAAATGTATTTCTGTTTTTTCTTTTTAAATATTTTGTTAACAGGCCAAATATAGACAAAAAAAAAGTATGTTTCTGTTTTGTTTTATTCTTGGATCGGGCTTTAAAGGGTTAAACACATGAAGGGAAGGGAATCCCAGATGAACACATCTAGGGATTTGGGGAAACAATCCGAGGAAGTGCAGGGGATGTGCAAGTGACCTGAAACAAGGGGATGTACCTTTCAAAATAAAACAGGAAAAGACAAGACCAAGACATGACAAAACAACAAAAAAAAACCTGGCGTGACAGTTTTGCTCATTCTTCTATAGTGCAAAAGACAAGAAGTGTGGATGGTTAAAAGTAACTATTAATTTGTTGTTGTGAAATAAGGGTGGATGTGCCAGGAAAAAAACAAGTAATAGAATCTTGTCTATAAGATTATAATTTACAATGAAAACAGAGAGGGTTATTTTACAGGAAAAACTCACCTAATATTGATGTCCGGTGCGTCAGGTTGTAGCATCCCTCCATGTTCACATAAGACTTATTTGGTGTATTATAATTATGAAGTTATGAACAGTTTTTGTCTGGTTTGAATGATTTCCTAAAAATCATTATTAAGTAGTCACTATAGATTACTTCATGGCATGAAAAATCGAATGCCCCATACTCTTTGTTTGCTTTGCTAGTCTTTGTACATCTTGTATTTCTGCTGTAATAAATCAGACATATCGGTGTCTGCAAGACAGTTGTCTGACCATGCTTTTTAGAAAAGCCAAAAATGGTATAATGTTTATGTTTTACAGACCATTTAAATCAAGAAGTCAAATAGTCAGGAAGCATAAATATGGACAAAGATTTTATTCAGTGTACAAACAGATAAAATAATGTGTCAACAGTTATATACAATGTATAAATTATTTTTATTTCAAGCATAGCACAAGGAAGGGACTGACAATTTCTTGGATTATTTTTGTTATTGTAAAATTGATCATTTTCTCAATTACGTCAAAGCACTATTAACACATTATTGTTTCAAATGTTAACTACAGTTAACAGTCTATGGGCCATGTTAAATATGTTCAAGATCAAAATATCTTACAAGACAAGACGATTTTTTCTTCTCTATCAGGAGAAGCATCATAGGATGCATAGGATGCTTCTCCTTCCTCTCCAAACCTCATCCGCACAGGCACCTGTACAGGTTTTTTCCTCCATGCCACCACCACCTTAAATAAGGACATCTCCACCTTCCAACCACTTCTACATCCACTTGTTATTTAAACTGTCGTGTTATTATTTAAACTGTCCTGTGGCGCTGGGAAACCATGTCAAATTCCTGTGTCCTCTGTACATTTGGCCAATAAAGCGATTTCTGAATCTGATTCTGAATGAGGGTCGATGAATTGCTCTCATAAGCATAACCGACCTCATTCAGATAAAGAATGATATTTATCTTGGCATGAACGGGGGTGAGATACGAGCCGGAACCATGCTACCTGGATGGCAATCATCCTGAGGATTGTCTTGGGAAGAAACAGTGTCATCCTGTTTACCAGGATGAGTATTTCCCAGTTAAAAACTTCCCAGCATCAAAACGACTTAGGAATCCCAAATTAAGACCTGGGGAGGCTGATCTCAGGAACCCAATTGTTCAAGCGGCGGCTCTCATCACAGAACAGGTGGAGTTTCTCCAGAGAAGGGTCCTTTAGCTTTATTATTCTCAAATAGCAAAAGGAGACTAGTTTAAGTCACAAGTTTCTTTCAAAGATGACCTATAAATGTTTCTTTGACAAAATGCGACGTCCTACTCTGGGTTCTATACCATTATGAGGACTTCAAGCTTGTCTCCAACAATGTCAGTGAGGTGCAGCATGGCACTCACCCCCACAATGCTGATGTTGTTGTCAAAGCAGACGGACTGGATGAGAGTGAAATATCACACTCTTCATCTGTGGCCTAGGACGCAGAAGGACATACTGTCTGGGTCTCTGTGGACAAAATTGCCAGCTTCTGTTGGCAGCTGCAGTGCTGGATACTTAGCAATGGCCACGTCAGATTTTTTAAATGCAGATTATTTACTTAGTCATAATTTTAGCATTATCATTGACACCAACAGTGAGGTGATCTGAGCACAGAGCAGAGCTTCCTTCAGTCTTTCCAGGGTGTAAGTTAACATGGTTTTCATGGTCAAACATGATTACGCTCAAGTACTCAGAAAGTCCTGAAAGGAAAGTGTGTACTGTTTCAAAGAGTTGGCCTGCTTTGTACAATGGAGCCAGCACGCGCTTCCTGATTGGCTATCTAGAGCACAATGGCAACAAGAGACTAGCAGACGACAACCCTACCCTTGGGGACACAGGTCCACAGAAAATTCTTAGAAAGGCTAGGGGGGGGCATGATTTTTGAAGATCAAATTTAGAAACTCTGACTTTTGAATAATTATTTAAGTTTACATGGATAATAAAACCACACAGGAACACCAGACAGCAGTTGTCAAATACCCCAAGAAATTGTGTAAAAATTACAAGCAATCCCTGAGAACATATACACTACAGTGTGCTAAAGAATAATTCTTGATCATACTTTGTTATGCTATACAAAATGCTTATGGTCAAAACTGTTATTGAGTCTTCTGTTGCTCTTTTACAGTAAATATGGAAAACTATTACTATCTCTAACAAGTTACATAGATAACATTTAATTTAATGTAGGTGTTGAAGCAAGAAGATAATTTTTGGGCTCATCACAGTTACCTTGTGAAGGAAAACTGTTGAATGTCTTGATCGTCAAAGAACCAAACAGAATTTCAGCTTTAGAACATAGCTGATTACATGACAGAGATCTTAATTTTAGATGGTCTTTACAGAGTGGAACACCTGTCATGCACTGACATCAAACAAGCATCTGTCTCAGATCTTCCTGTTTAAAATATATTTGAGATAGTTTGACAGAAAACAACAAAAAGAGAAACACAATATAAATAAGAAAGCATTTTTTAAAGAAAAAAAACATTCATTTGTTACTCTGAATATTGAAAACTGAATACGTGCTGAAAGGCATAGCTAGTGGGAGCATATAAAGGATGGTTTATGGCTTCTAGTGTGACAAGGGATTGACTTTCACTCTTTGTTTAATATCTGTGGAGACAAGAATAAAAGATAGTCTATCAAAGCTAAGAATGCACTGGGCACTGTCAAACTTTTCAAGTATTTTCCACTAATAACTTGATATTTTGTTAGTGCTGAAGTATGTCTGTCTGCATTTACATAGATGCAAAAAAATACATGTTAATAAAATGTGTGACAGGATGTAAGGAACATCCATCCATCCATCCATTATCAATGCCGCTTATTCCCTGATGGGGTCGCGGGGGGAACTGGAGCCTATCCCAGTGGTCAACGGCGAGAGGCAGGGTACACCCTGGACAGTCCGCCAGTCCATCGCAGGGACACACAGAGACACACAAGGACAAACAACCACACACACTCACATTCACTCCTAAGGGCAATTTCCCCAATCTCCAATCAGCCTAACATGCAGGTTTTTGGATGGTGATGTAAGGAACAAAGCAATTGAAATACATAATTTCAACTTTTATCTACTGACGTGTCTTTTATGTAGGCATAATAGTGCTTGAGTGGGGTTCCTTTCTTATGCTTAACATGATACTTACAAGGAAAAACTAGGAATGGATGAAAATACTGTAACTTTGAAAAAACATCTGCCAGTAAATTATTATGAAATATTATGCCAGTCTCTGGAAGGTAAATATAAAGAAATATGAGATGACTGAGGACATCTACTGCCCATTGTATATGTGGTTTGGACCATACCAGATCTTACAACTTTAGTATTAAAACTTCTGCTTGTGTACTTGTGTTATGGAAATCAAACTGCAGATCCTCTTGTTTATGTCATCATTCTTTAACCCTATAATGCCAAATGTATCATATTTGATACATAAGGTATCTGAAATGTTTTGCGTCTGACACCTTTTGCATAATTTAATGGTAAAAACTTTGCTCAAAATCCTATTGTACACAATTAAATACACCTGATAACAGGGGGCAGAAGACTACACAAAAAATAATCTTGACTTATCGCATAGTAATAGATTATTAATATTAAATGTTTATTTTTGTTTTTATTTTTACATATTTTGTTAAAAGGCCAAATAAAGACTTAAAACAAAAAAAAGTATGTTTCTGTTTTGTTTTATTCTTGGATCAGGCTTAAGAGGGTTAAGAATGTTCCGAATTTGATCTGTGGCGAACTTTTTTTCTTTTTAAACTCATGGCCAATTTCACACCTTGTACTTTTTCTATCTTGTAGATTAGGAAATAGCACGCGCCACTGCTTTGCATACGTAAAGACGGCTCTCACTTCGGGCGCGTGGCATCTGGGGATTCCTGGTTGTTTTATCTCTCTTGTCTGCGCCACTCTCTTTTGTAACGATGGGATACCATCTATCCCGGAGGGAATATGAGAAAAGGGGGCGGGTAGAGAAAAACAGGCAGCACCGAGATTATTTTTAGCCCTTTAAATGAAACAAATCCAGAAATATTCACAGCACATCTAAAATCAACCACCTATGTTTGATAAATCCAAACATACCTCCTATAAAATCAAAAGGAATTTTCATTATATGTTGTTAATTACTTAGCTTTTCCATTGTGAAACAGAGATTTTTTGGCTCTTTTCTGCAAGCCACAGAATAGGAGCTTTGACCACCAACACCTGTCGCGCTCCGCACGAGGAGGCATCCGCCTGGCAGATGTGTCTCCGGAACAATAGGTTGATTTCCACTTGCATGCGTCTGCCCTGTGGTCATGCAAGCTGATCCCTCCTTAATATAGCCCAGTTTTCCAATCCCAATTAGCTGGATCTAGACCAAACTTTGGCTCAGCCTCTCGGCCTGCTGATTCTCGGTTTGAAGTTTTTACAGTTCAAGGACAGAGACTGAAAACGATATTTATATAAAACAAGAGTATCTTGCGAGTTGTTGTTGGATACAACATATTCGGCATTCTTTATCCAATTAACATTTTTTAAAGGATTTTATAGGCGCATTTTACGCATCTGACATAGTTTTTAAAACGACTATTTTTCTTTGTAAGTGTTTCGGCTGTCATTTCTCCTCATAGGCATTCTGATTCAATCAAAACTCAGACAACAGATTGCAAAATGTGGAGACTTGTGAACAAAAGCACGGCGAACCCCGGGAGGTCGAAGTTGACGTGGTTTAAGAGACGTGAAGGGAGGGGCAGGCCCCCTCAAAGAGACAGTTCTCCATCTGCCGTTCTGCTCTAAGCAGAACAATGGTGTTCAATCAATCACCACCAACCTGTGTCTCCAGCCTCCACAGCCCACTGTGTTTGTGAACTGGCAGCAGGTCTGACCTGATGCAAGATGTATCTTTGAATACAGCTCTTTGCGGATAATACAGCGCCGAGTTGCCAGGGGGTGTGTTGAATCTAGATCTGTGCATAAAACTCTAATTGCAAGTCTTCTTAACGAATAAAAGAAAGTTTTAATCTATGTGTTCGTGGACATTCTAGGAGGAGTTACTCCTACGATCTTAAATTCGAGGGTGACTAGTACAACCGTGCGTAAAAATGGTGGAGCATCTGCGCCCAAAACGCCGCAAAAGCAGCGCAGTAAACTTTGGAATTAACATAATCGGGTTTTATAACTCCCTAGAGAAAATATAGATAAAAACAGAGGATTTCTGCACAGCTGATGGACACGTGGTCAGCACGGACCTGCATCAGCAAACACAGTTTTGGCACGCGCTGGCCATTTGCATTTGTATGTGGACTAGGGGCGGGGGCATAATAGAGGGGGCTTCTGTTCTAACAATGGCCTACTTCTACTCCACAGATGGCATCATCCACTTGCCCTTTCTCTCAGAGCGGGTGATGGAGGGGGTGCGTCACACTTTCTTCATATTACTATCACACAAAGTAAACAGTGCAGATAAAAGTTGAGTTTTCAAATATATATACCTATCAATGAGATGCGTCAAATAAAAAGACACTGGGGAAGCTGCTTTTAAAATGTATGGCACTCATAGATTGTGATCAATTGTTGCGTTGTGTTGGGAAAGTTGAGCTGATGTGGAAAATACATCCCTGCCATAATGTTGACATAACGGCCAAATAGTTTAGAAGAAAAACATTCCTAAGTCAAGATATGTCATCTTAAAATAATGACCAGACTTTGCAATGTAACCAAACTTCTTATCATTTTATTAATGAAGCTATTTTTAAGTTTGCGTGCTGCCTGCAGAAGGATGCGTGCCCGGCAACATGACCCCCATCAATCTGCCACGAGCCAGAGTGGGACAATAACATTATCATACCAATACACCATTCAGCGTCAGCCAATCAACGCGCAGCACTCCCACCGCTCGGCACAAGCCGCAGGATATAAAACAGGGGGGACAGCAGTATTGAAAACACTCGCTCTCGGATACTTTATTCGGACTGTTTTCCAACTCTTCCTTTGAGGATATACACTTGGTTGTTTGCATCATGACTTTTGAGGAGGTCCCGATCCAGAAAGCTGCTGAGCGCGCTCAGTGCACCGGCCAGGCTCTGGAGGAGGTCCTGGAGGCTGCAAAAGACAACGAGACTCTCACCGTGGGTGTCTATGAGTGCGCCAAAGTTATGAATTTGTAAGTATGAAACAGCACACTAAAACGCTACGTCTGAAAGTATCGTTATCTAGATCACTTCATCTCACAAACTCCGTTGTTGTGTTTCCACAGAGACCCGGACAGCGTGTCCTTCTGCGTCCTGGCCATGGATGAGGAGTTCGGGTGTGATATTGCTCTCCAGATTCACTTCACGCTCATCCAGTCCTTCTGCTTCGACAACGACATCAGCATCGTGAGGGTGACTGACATGCAGCGCCTTGCAAATATTGTTGGAGACAAGACGGAGAAGCTTGAGGATGTGCACTGCGTTCTCGTCACGGTTCGTAACTCTGACCGTTTCTTTTTTTTCGTTAAAAATGTCCAAGGTAACATCTTTAAATAGACTCGTGACTCAAAAACTAATTCCCCCTTTGTCGTTTAAACAGAACCCAGCCGACGGGTCCTGGGAGGACTCTTCCATGGAGAAGCTCCACCTGTTTTGCGAGGAAAACCGACGTTTGAACAACTGGGTTCCTGAGATCAGCCTCCCCGGGCGTTGATCTTGTGCTCCACTCAATTGTTATGATGCTGAGAAGCTTCTTACCTGGAAATACTCGTCCCTGGTAAACAGGACGACCCTGTTTCTGCTCATCCCTGGAAACTCCTGAGGAGGATTGCCATCCAGGTTGCATGGGGCCGGCCCCCAGGGGGGGCCCCCCCATGAAATGTCGTCTCTCGTCCCGTCCATGCCAAGATGACTCTCATTCTTTATGTGAATGAGGGTCAGGCATGCCACGAGAGCGACCCGTCGACCCTCATTCTTTGTGCGGATGAGGTTTGGAGAGGATGGAGAAGCGAGTTCTGCGTTCTGTGGTTTCCACGGAGCCAAAAAGTCGCACGCTCAACGCACGCGCAGCAGGAGAAGAAGCGGTGCCGAGAAAGAGGCCTTCTTAAAAAGAGACTTTTTAAAAAGGTAGCCTCTTTGCTGTGCAACACGACAGCAGTTGCAGTCAGTGGAAATGTTCCCCCCTCTTTCCAGAATTGTCTTTAATTCTCTAAAGGTTTCACTTTAGAAATGTTACAATGACAAAAAGAAAAAAAAGAATAATGTAATTTATCTAAAGGTTTCGCTTTAGAAATTTTACAATGACAAAAAAAGAATTAAAAAAAAGAATAATGTAATTTATCTAAAGGTTTCGCTTTAGAAAACGACTTTTAAAAAAAAATCAAGTTGTTTTCTATCTTAAGATTTGAACGTTTTAGATGTTTTCTGATTCTTATTTAGTATTTGTTTGAATACTTTAGAAAAATTCACATCTATTCTGAGAAAAAATGTTTTTGAAAAATACGAAAAGCCTAAATGACAACTAACTAACAATTTCCGAATGATGCTGGAAAAAGACGAATTCACTTTTGCGGGGTTCTCATTAAAGATAATAGTAACTGTTGTTTGAAGAAAAAAAGTTCAATAAAAATAAGATATGAGATTCTGTATCCCTGTTTCCACTTTCTTCTGAAAACCGATGGATTTGGGGAAGAGGATGGGGTAAATTGAGAGGGAGGAGAAGGGCCAGTCATCTGCCCGCTGTCGTCAGGGTCAGGGGAGGGGGGGATCCTCCCCCCCGTAGACCTAATCTGCATATGTATGGAGCTGCTCACAATGGAGGAGCTTGCCGATCTGTCAGCTCCAGCGGTCCGCAAAGAGCGTCCATTGTCCGGTCAGCAGATGTCTCCGCTGCCCCGACGCGCCATCTGTCGCCGCGTTTAGGCCAGTTCCAAAGGGCTGTTCAGGATCTGGCTGGTTTGCACCGGTTAATAAAAAAAGTGAGATGAATGGGATCCCCCCCACCCACCCACCCACCCACCCCTAAGCATTATCCGGAGCCCCGCCAGCTGCTGTCTGGGTTGATATTTTACCTACAGGCACTTCTTGAAAGTTTGGTAAACTGTCCACAAAAAAAAGTATGAACACCCACTAGGCTCCTATAAAAATAAAATCAAAGTAGACACTCGAAGTGTTTGTAAATAAAAATATTTATTATAGAAACAAGAACAATTCTTAGGTTATATCTCAGATAAAAGATAACCACCAGCAGTATAACTTTTGCATGATTGCTGAATAAAAAGAACACACCAATTCAGTATAAAGATCTTTCTTGTTTTTTTCGGATTCGTGTAAAAAATATATATTAGAATTTCTTCAAGTTCCCCTTGATAGTTCCAGTACACTTTAAAAACGTTTTAATCAAATTAGGGGAGGAGTAGTGCCCCTTTATTAGAACGGACTCAGTTTTTTCTTCAGGCACTTTTGTGTTTATTTCTAAGGCTATCTCAAAGAGCCCCAGGAAGAAACAAATTGTAAAAGACTACACGTCACTTTTCTAAATCCAGATCTTTCAAACAGAAAAAAAACATAGTTTGTAAAGTGTTGGTGCAAAAATAGGTGAGTAAAAGGTTTTCCCTAACCCCTTGTCAAATAAAACCTCATGAGAGAACACAGAATTTGGAAGTGTGTCTGAGACCTCTGTAGGCACGGAGCCCCTCCCTCTTGGGGTCCCTCACCATCCCTCGGACGACTGGCAGGCAGTCGCAGCCTTCTCTCTTCTGGGCTCGGTGCAGCACTATGCGATATGCCCCAGTAATCGGGCTGCGGCTGTTATTGAGCTGATTGTTCTGCAGGTGCTCGGCTGTAATGCCCAGTTCCTCCAGGGCGCTTCTGACCTCCTCTTCCTCCTTCGCATCCTGTTCCTCCAGGCTGTCTTGTTCAGACTCCAGCAGACTCTGCAGGGCACTTGGTGGCTCGGCGGGAACCAGTGACCAGGGAAATTCCACGGGTAGGAGCCAGTCGCAGCCCAGCATCTGGTCTACGGCGTAGCGCTCAGCGGGGACGGTCTTTAAAATTCCCTTGATGAGCCGCTGGCAGGGGCCAGGCACCCAGGGAGGGACAGTGTAGCTGCCCTCGATGATGCAGCGACGCAGTTTGCCCATGGTTTCGGCACGGAACGGCATGGTCCCAGTCACCATGAAGAACAGCAGGACCCCCATGGCCCATACGTCCACTGGAGGCCCGACATAAGACTCATCGTGGAAAAGCTCCGGTGCGGCGTAGGGTGGTGAACCGCAGAAAGTGTCCAGTGTGCTGTTGCGCTGTGACACCCGTGTGCTGAAGCCGAAGTCGGCCACCTTCACGCAACCGCTGCTAGTAAACAGAACATTCTCCGCTTTCAGGTCCCGGTGGATGATGTTGATGTTGTGCTGCACGGCAAAAAACACTGTTTTAATACAATATGTGATTGGACTGCATAGAAGAGAGAAAAAAAAAAACACACAAAAAAGGACCACCAACCATGTATTTGACAGCAGAGAGGATCTGGGCAAAGGTGATCTTGCTGGTGTTGTCAGAGAGTTTTCCCTCGCAGTAAATTCGGTTGTGGAGGTCTCCTCCACCAGCATACTCCAGCACCAGGTAGAGGCGGCTTGGTGTCTCCACCACCTCATACAGACGGAGCACGTTGGCATGCTGCAGGGATTCCATGCTGCTGATCTCCCTGGAGAGCAGACGCTGGGCCTGAGTATCCAATCTCATCCTGTCCAAGATCTTCAGGGCCACTTTGTCTGAGGAGCGACACAGAGACAGTGAGACTTGTCTCACTCTGAGGTCTTTTTTTTTTACATCTCTAGACGCCTGAGTCAGTGACAATTTGTGTATTCATCACTACATTCATTCATCACAACATTTTCTGAGCAGCGTTCATAAAGTTATACCTACAACCCCTAGCAAAAATTATGGAATGACAGGCCTCGGAGGATGTTCATTCGGTTGTTTAATTTTGTAGAAAAAAATCTGATCACAGAAATGACGCAAAACTAAAGTAATTTCAAGAAAAGAAATTGTGGTAGTGAGTAAACGTTACTTTTTTAAACCAAGTAGAGGGAAAGAAATATGGAATCACTCAATTTTGAGGAAATAATTCTGGAATCACCCTGTAAATTTCCATCCCCAAAACTAACACCTGCATCAAATTAGACCTGTTTGTTACTCTGCATCTAAAAAGGAGTGATCACACCTTGGAGAGCTGCTGCACCAAGTGGACTGACATGAATCATGGCTCCAACAAGCGAGATGCCATTTGAAACAAAGGAGATCATTATCAAACTCTTAAAAGAGGATAAATCATCATGCAATGTTGCAAAGATGTTGGTTGCTCAAAGTAAGCTGTTTCTAAAATCTGGACCTAAAGCAAATGACATGGGAAGGTTGTTAAAGGCAAGAAATATGTCTAAAAAATGCAAAACAAAACAAATGAGGAGCGAAAGGGAGGAAACTGGATTCTACATCTGTGTCATGGCCTGCAAATAGTCCGGATCTATATCCAATTGAAAATCTTTGTTGAAGTTGAAGAAAATGGTTCATGACAAGTCTCCAACCTGCAAAGCTGATCTGGCAACAGCAATCAGAGAAAGTTGGAGCCAGATTGATGAAAAGCAATAGCATACTTTTTTCCTCAGAATTGAGTGAGTCCATATTTTCTTCCCTCTGCTTGGTCTAAAAAAGTAACCGTTACTACAACAATGTTTTTTCTTGATTTCTTTTAGTGTTTCTTAAAGCCATTTGAAATTACTTTAGTTTTGTGTCATGTCTGTGATCTGCTTTTTTTCTACAAATTTAAACAACTGAATGAACATCCTCCGAGGCTGGTGATTCCATTATTTTCGTCAGGGGTTGCATAAGTACAACGGGATATCTACCACAACAAAAGGAAGATGGAAGAGCAATACTGCTCAAATAGCAACAAAGAAGTAGGCACCGGAGAAATAAGGAGAATTCTATTTATCATTACCACTAGTAAAGACAGAAAATAAATAATTGGATGGATGGAAAAGCAAATGCTGCAAATGTATGTTTGGTCAGTATACAGTATGTCACGTTTCCTTTTTATTAAATAAATTCTAAACCACTTACATGTTGTTGTAAGGACATGCTTTGAAAAATATGAAAAATAATCATTTCTCCATACATCATCAAACAGAGTAACAATAATGTGATTATTTTACCAATAAAATAATCTATAATTCATTTAATAATATTGATCTATAGTTGATGCAGATGTCATTTTTACAGTTTGAAACACCCAATAAGCTTGTCCTCTTCTGAGCCTGTGATTGGTCAAAATTGTGGCACTAACACTATCACATCGTCCAAGTTGAGTGAGCAAAATCAGTGAGAGGGCATATGAATTCAATTGACAGAAAATTATATTGCGTCTTTACAGAAAGTAGAAAACACAAAAACAAGTTTCCTGCATCCATACTTTCTGGTTGGTAGCCTGTTTGTTTAACATTTTCCAAATACCCCACATAATCATAGGATTGTTTTAAACAATTGTGTTGTTTTCAGGAGCCATTCTGAGTAAGGTCTTAACTGACAAAATAATCATACTGTGATCATAAATGCCAAAGCATTTCCAAATTAACTTAATTTGGTCCTCTTGCATGCCCTTTTCAGGCCAGACATAAAAAACATGAATCGCTCTCCAGTCCTCTAGTTGTAGCACTTACGCAGATGTTGGGTTTTTGGGCCGAACTTTTGCTTTGGGACTGTCTTGAACTCTTACATATGCCAAGCAAACTCAGGTGTGTGGAGTCTGAGATTTTTCTCCATTTTTATTCTGAGACCTGCACTGTCTGATGTTGAGATTAACTTGCTGGGACGTTCACCCCTTAGAAGACTGGAGACGTTTTAAAATGCTTTCAATATGTTTCTTTCTGTGGAGTGATGGACTCCAAATAGTTTAGAAATGACCACATAACCATTTCCAGATCAACCTATGCTTTATTAAAGTTGCTTGTATTTGATTCTGAATAAACCAAAAATGATTTGGCCCATCTCGTGAATCTTTGTCATTAAACTTAAAGCAGACAAAATTCTGTTAATCTTTAGCAGGTTCTGACAGGTTCAGCTTTTGTTTATCAATCATTTGAACTGGACAGTAATGGTGCAAATATGCAGGAGATGCAGACAGATCAAAGATCTCTTGTACACAGCCACCTACCTTTGGTCAGAGCGTGGAAAGCCAGTTTGACCCTGGAGAAAGTCCCACACCCAATCTCTCCCCGCACTTTGTAGAACCCAACTCTGCGACCAATTATCAGCTCCTTGATGGTCTTCTCATCCTTGCACATATCTGTCGTGAGCTTTTGCAGGGGAGTGAGGCAGAGCGCGGGGCTCTCCTCTTCAGGGCCACCATCAGAGCTGTCTGTCAGGCTGTAAACGCTGTGGCTGAGCCTTTTGTTTGTCACCTGGTACTGACCTCCAGGCATTTCTGAAAAGGAAAAAAAAAAATATCACATTGTTACCAACACAGCATTCTATGCACAAGTCTGTAAACAATTTAATGGTGGAAAAACATAAAAACACTGAAAAAGGGGAACTTTTTTTTTTTTTACCAATAATTTGTTGTCCTCTCTTGATTCAGAACATGACCATACTATCCATTGCAAAATGAATTGCCCAGAGAAAAGCACAACACTTGCATGCTTGAGTCAGAGAAATGTCATCCCGACTTTCTTGTCTTTTTCTATCTAACTACAACAGAGGCACATAAGGAGGGGGTGTGCCTGAACCATGTGTCCCAGGCCACACCTACCTATCATGACCATCTCTGCCTCTTTGAAGGGCGGAGGTTAAGATGGAATCATGGTCTTTAATCCTGTTTTAATTTAGGTCTGCAGCAATATATTCCAACGACCAATTAAACTGAGGCCAGAGAAAAGTGGCAGCTGACAAAGGAGTATTAATCTGTAACGGCAGAATATTTATTCATGATGGTCATTTAACGAAAAAGGGGAAATGGCAGAAAGCGCTTAGGTGAGATTCAGCTCCTGGCTGTGGCACAGCCGAGGTGTTATGCAATGGTATTACCTAATGTTCCCATAGAGATTAGACTTGTCCCCTTTGAACAGCACAGCTAAACAGATTAGAGGGCAGAAGATCAGCACCTCAGCATGTTCATTCAGGTGTGCCATCCTTGTGAGGAGGAGCAGGTCGGACAATGGAACCCATCATGAGGCATTGTGAGAACAGAAAAGTGCCCAAAGTGGCACTTGTTAAATATAATGCAGGTATTATTTCTGGTGTGAACCATCAATTAACACAATATGCTCAATTTTTTCAACTGTGTACGTAAACAAAAAAAGATCCTTTACCAATTCTGCATGAAAAATTATGATTCTTTAATTTTCCATTGCAAATAAAACAACCAGAGAAGACTGTTGGAACTGAGTGGGATTGGATAAAAACTAACAATAATAATAACTAATAACACATAAGAATTAAGATATTTGAAGACAGTTAGACCTGTGGCTGATGTTTTTCCTTATCAAAGCCAGAAAACCAGCTGTCAGAAAGAGAAAATGAACTTGCCTTTTTCAGGGACCCAAAGCGCAGTAATCTGAATAGGGCCATTAGAATTAATGTAAACCCTGAAAACAAATAACTGATGCCTTTTCCAAACTTTAATTAAAAGAACAGAAATGCAACACACAGGGAAAACATCAGTTAAATGATTTCCTTGAATTGAAACAGAAACAGCTTGTATTGCTGGGATTTGTCCTCTTCCTATTTGATTCATTCAAAAGTTTACCTCCTCCTTATCTATACGTATCCACCCTCCCTCCTGGGTCCTTCCCTGCAGGCATCTAATTGGATTAAACTCCCGAAGCAGCATGCAGTGCGTGTTGAAATGTGAGCATAGATATGGCAAACATCAACAAACATCACTTTGCATAGCTCTATCAAGTCCATTTTTTCGTTTAAATAGAGCTGAAGTAAAACGGAACATTTCATACACGGCGTGCACCCGCACGCAGCATCTTATAGGTCAGCCTCCAATCAAAAACTAGGTCTTCCGTCTCTTCAGACGGCTGTCGCAAAGGCTGTTGGCACGCTGGTGCTCTTCCAGCTCTCTGATTCTCTGACGCAATGCACCAATCTCTTTGCTCTTCTCCTCCTGGAAAAATTGCAGCTTCTGAGGAAACACACACAGTTAATCCGTACTTGTGAAATCTGTCCACGGAAACAATGTTTAGATTTCATTCAGAATCCTCTGCATATTGTTTGTATGTGAACTAGTTTGTGTTGACTATTTTATTTGATGAAAACCAAAAATTAATCATCATTTTCAAACTATTCTTTCTGTTAAGGAATGTTATTTGTCTTTTTCAACTCCCGCATGAGTGATGTTTAAAGAGTAAACCAGAGGCCACTCAGAAATTTCTCAGTCAGCTTTCTTGTAGAGGATATTTGACTTGTAGGGTGTTTGATAAGAATAATTAATCATTTCAGACAGACAAGCTGCCTTGTAAGGACTTTGCAAAAAGAAAGTCATGCACTCCAGGACCACTTGTAAGGCTCAGGGATGCATATTCTGCTGTCAGACAGAGCTGCATTTTACATGGATTGTTATGGATGGACAGCCTAAACATGATTATATTTAGTCTAGTATAGTTAGTCTTCTTTGAAGTTTACTTTTGCTTTACAATAGAGTCCAAAATAAGTTTGAACTTATCCTGCATTGAGAAATAAACTGTGACCCCAAGGTTTGGAATCAAGTCAGACCCTTTAAGCTTATAAGTTGTTTTTTGTGGTTGAAAAGCAGGAAGTAAAAGGCTCACCTTCTTATATACACTGTGTGGAAGGTTGCTGGATGCATGCGGCTGCTGCTGGTTCCATTGAGCCGTGATCTGAACTCTGGCCAACTTTGCACCAAACTGAAAAACTCACAAAGAGGCACGTAAATCAGCTAAGTGTTATCGAAACTGACGTCAACTAACTCAAAGCGTAGAAACAGTGAAGATGAAGAGTTATATTAGCTTGAGAAAAACTGATTCTGGGACATAGGTTTATATAAAATCTTGACATTTATTCACTTGTTTCACCTCCATCTGTAACTTGAGGAGCTCGCTCTGCTGTTCTCTCTCCTGATCCTTCATCCTCTTCTTCATCTCCTCCAGTGCCACATCCTTCCCCTCCATCAGTTCCTTCATGCAGAGATCTTTAGTCTTTACTGCAAACAAAGTAAACAGCAAACTCTGAGCAATACAGTTCTTCTCTGCAGCTCTATTTTCATGCTACAGGGACATACAGCTACAACAATATCATTTTTAGAATAGTTCAAAGAAAAACCTAAGTTAAAAGATGAGTACAGATCAGGTATTATATTTTATATTATATTATATTATGTTATAACTGAATGTTAAATCCTTAATTCTAAATCCCCTTCTAGCATATTGCATTCAAAGTAAGGCAAGTGTGTCACGGCTGTTGTAGTTGAATGTTAACCCCTCTTTTTGTACGTTGCTTTGGACAAAAGCATCTGCTTAATACATATATATAAATTTTGTAGAGGTTATTATTCACCATGTTCCTGAAACACCTGGAATCTTCTCCATTAGTGCTTATTCAGCAGGACCTTTAAACTGTACCTTTAAGAAGATTTTAAGAACTTGCCTACATAGAAATTGAGCAATAAAACTTTTAGAGCAGCAATAGGTCTTGGTCTAGAGCTCACAACTATGCCAGGTGATGTATTAAAAACAGTAACTGGAGGAACCTGGATTTTATCCTAAAATGTCATATTGCCAGCAGTGAATTTATTTAATTAATAAATCTATGCTCATCTTTTAAACGTAATACTGAAACTATCTTACACTTTTTAAAAACAAAATGTGGACAGGAGACTGATTTTAGGTGAACTCTAATGCTGCATTACCCCATAAATGTAAAACTTTAAAATATTTAACAACTGAATATTCATCATACATGTTAAATTTGATGTTTTCAAGCATACACACACATATACACACACACGCTGCTGCTTTCTTCATGCCTGTTACTTGAATGACTGTATTGTAAATATTGCACATTACAATTGATCACTTTATATTTATTATATCACACAATTTTCTTATTATATGTCTAATTTATCTAACTTATCTAATTTATGTCTATGTCTGCAGGGGAAAGAAAGAAACTAAATTTCAATTCTTTGTATGACCAACGCAAGTAAAGAAATTGACAATAAAGCCTACTTGACTTGACTTGAAATAATCATTATGATTGTTAAAGGACCTAATAAAAATGGAGCAGGTGTTGTATATTCACAGAAAGGGTAACAGAAATGTTGTCCTTTTCCATATCCTTACTCTGACTTAGAGCCTCCCTGTGGGCATCCTCCACCTCTCTGCTGCACTGCTGTCTTAAAGCCTCTAGCTCCCTCTTGTGTCCTTCCTCTCCTGCTCTTATTTTACTGAGCAGTCGCTGAACCTCTGCCATTCCGGCCTGATTACAACACGCAGACCACACACACAGGCAGAAATGAAATGACTTCTACCACATGGAACTTTCCCAGTTATTTTGGCGTTAATTCAGACGAAATCCGATAAAATTCATTTAGTAGAAGGGTGTCTTTTATGCTTTGGCTCTCACCTCCACCCTTCTTTCGTTCATTTGTTTTAAAGCCAGTACTTCATTTTTCAGTCTCTCATTCTCCACTGAAAAATGGACAAACACATAATATGTAGTAAATTCTCAGAGTAATGATAGCTGTGAAGAAATTTTGTGCAGCCTGATGTGGGAGATTACCTCTGAGGTTGCATTGCTCCTGCAGAGTCTGTTGCAGTTTGCTCATCATCACAAGGAGGCCCTCTTTCTCTGTGACATGTTGATCGAAATCAACAGTTTTGCAAAAGCTGTTACAGATCCCTAAGACTTTTTCATGTATTAAAAATCAAGAGGGTTTCTTCATCCAAGAAGTCTCAAAACTGTTTATTGAAACCTTACAAACAGGCGGTTTACACCTGAGTGTGGCACTCTTGCTTAAAATCCAGTGTGTTATCACTGCCAGCCAGGTAAATGAATGTAGGATTATGTGTGGTACCAAAAACATTGGCTAATTCTTGCAAATAAAATACTAAGTTAAAATGGACTCTAAACCTGGACATATCTTGGGTAACTTTCATGTGATGCTTTAGTTGTTAAAAGTAGGCCAGTCCCACCAGTAACTCCTTAAATAAAGAGCTAATAAGAGTAGCTATTCTGAGAAAAGTAGTCAAATCAGACTTTTAAAAAAAGCAAATTACATATGAATATATACATACTCACCCTGAATCAGACTCCTCTCTTTGGCATGACTGAATTTTATGTGCCTGTTGACATCCTCCAAAACGATCCCCAATATACTGTTTCTGTCATTAACCTCTGTTATTTTCTATTCACCAACCATGTAAGAAATTATGTCATACAAAATAAAACCTCAATAGGTAATACATTCAATGTACAAAATGCAGAATACAGTATAATATTTTGGGATGTTGCAGTGTGATGCCTATGACAAACAAATAGGTGGAGAACACTATCAAGTTAAACTGACATATCTAGCTTAATAGGGTGTGACTTGGGTTATCTCCAGTGCTTGGTTTGGAAGCATCCCACTGAACCCATAACTGTCCCCCTAGACCAGTGTTTTTCAACCACTGTGCCTCGGCACACTAGTGTGCCGCGAGTGATGGTCAGGTGTGCCGTAAAAAATCATCCTATTTCACCTAATTGGTCTAAAAAGATTTTTTGATAAGGAATTAATTATCTGCAAATAATGTGCCATTTTTAAGTGTCTGTGCTGTTCTAGTGACTGGTGGCGTAATCATGTAATAATTCCTTATGATTAGATTTTGTATATAATTTTGTATATTGAAGTGGACAATTTGAAAGACGAAATATAAAAGAGGATATAAATACATTTGTGTGTTTATTTGATTCCTATTCAAGACACTTAAGATAAAACTTAGACTTCCTTCATTGTCATTGTACAAAAAACACAAGGTGAATCTTGACAACGAAATGTCGATTACTTGATAAGATAAGAATAACTATAGTGTTACTATTGGCGGCTACAGATTTGTTTAACATTTTTGTTTTGTGGTGTGCCTCGTGATTATTTCAATGAAAAAATGTACTTTGGGTCAAAAAAGGTCGAAAAACACTGCCCTAGACTACCACAGCCATACTAAACTAAATTGACACCATCGCGACTCAGAATTGACGAGTGGAATAAAAAACTATTTTTCTCGTAAAAACGTAATAGAAAGGACGTAATACGTTTAAAACTGCTACTCAACTAAAGTACAAATTCTCAGTAGTACCCAATACCAACACTGAAAGTTAATTTTCTTCGTTACCGTCCACCTCTGACCAGGTACCAATTAGCAGATAATCAGTTGCTGTTAGCTGGTTAGCTAGCGCATTCACCTGTTCCAATTCACCAAACTCTTCCATCAACTTGTCAAGGTCAATGCTGTTCAACTTTGCCATGATTTTTTGCTTAGGTGGAAGCTAATATATTGTTTCAAAACTTTAGTTTATCCGTTCCGACGTTAGTAATGCAAGTGCCGGGTTATTGGACGTTAGAGTCAGGAGCCCGAAATTCAGTTGCCCTGATGTAATCTGTTCCCCTGGTGTCGGACACGCGCACGACATCCGGTGTCGTGCTCCCGCCGGAGCGCGCATTCACTAGGGATCTTAAATATGGGAAATGTGGGATTTGTGTGAAACCAAAATGTTATAACTGTGGAGGAAAGCAGAGTGTAGGGTATTGGGGTTGTGAGGCTATGAAGAGAGAAATAACAATACAGCAGATAAAAGTAAATAAAAATGTATCATATATGTCGAAGCTGCCAAGAGAGTGTGACAGAAGAATTTTATAATACAAGCATAATGAAGGTAATCATTACCTTCTCTGTAGCAAACTCCTCTGTAAAGACTTTGAATTACTTTATATAGTTTGTAGTTATTTTAGACAGCTTCTTCTTAGCTGGTGTTGAAATAATCCTGAACACCTTTTTAAAGGTTCTGGGAGAGACCAAGGCAAATTGAGGGGGAGATTGAAACTAGGCACTTTAAAGATTAATGTGATTAACTTCAAGAATGTCATGATGTTTGATCATTTTACATATTCGCTAATGGGTGCATGGTTGTTTGTCTTTGTGTGTCTATATATACACAAGGATAGATGTAAATACTGGGAATAAGTTTGGATTAGAACTGACAATAGTGACCAATTTTGTTAACGCCATTATGTGAATGGAATGTATATCAAGGAAGTGGTCACTATCCTATAGATATAAGAAAAAAAATGTAGCAACAGTACAGGCCACAGAGAGATTAGGTGGAAGGAATGTGACACAAATCTTTCTCAGGTTAGTGAGAATATGAAAGTGGAAATGACGTATGGAAGTGGAAATGATGTTTAATGAAATTGAACATAGTGTCATATCATACCGATGTGTGGGATGTGGATAATTAAGCAAAATCAGTCCTCTTGGAGCTAGATGTCATTCAAGTTCGAGCACTAAGAATTTGTCTAGGAGCAATGGAAACAGCACCACTCTGCTCCCTCCAGGTGAAACAGGAGAAATGCCATTATTGTTAAGAAGGAAGCAGCTGGTGGCCAGTTACTAGGTAAACTCAAAAGGACACAATGAAGAATGCCCAAAAATATATTGTGGTAGCTCAGTGGTAGAGCATTTAGCTGCAGATCAAGAGGTCCCCAGTTCAACTTTTGATACCCCCCTACTTTGTAAGGGTCTAGTAAATGCATAAACACATAAAATAGACAATATGGGTTTTGGGGATGTGTTATGAAATGGTGAAAGAATTTTTTTTGGGGGGTGAGTCAGTAAGGGAATAGCTGTACAACTACATATACAGCAAATATAATTCAGCCCAACAGTTCTGTGGACAGCAATGCCAGAATGGATGTTACAAAAAACAAGTGTAAATAGACAAATATGGATAGTCAAACGAATAAATAAAACATTAAATTTAGTACAGTAATGTTATAAATAGGCAGAGGATGACTATGGAGACCATATTCACATATATACAGATGGATCCAAAGTGCAAGTAAAAGGAGCAACAGATGCAACGATGGTGGTTCCCAGTCATGATCAAAGAACATCAGACCATTTAATTTTATATGCATTGGAGATGCGTGCAATACTACTAGCAACAGAATGGATGGAGGACATGAAGCACGTGAAGATGTTGGGATTCAGTGGCATCACTCTTAAGCATTATAACAGGTGAAATAAAGAAGTAAAGAAAGAGGAAGGTGGAAATTAAAGTAAAATGATCAAAAGCAGAGGAGAAAGTTTGATATGAAAAGAAATAAACAAGCACGGGAGTCAACATTGGAAAGAGCAGTAAAATGGTAGACATTTATATAGATTTCAAAGTGAGGTAAAAGTGATTGGATGTAATGGAAATAACAGAACAGAGCAGGTCATCATGAGCAGAATAAGAATAGAGCATAGGAAACTGAAATTTATACCTAATATAATAGGAAAACATCCAACAGGTCTGTGTAACTTAAACGATTAGAATTGGAGTAAATTAGAAAGAAGTAAAGTCCAGCAGATGGTGGCATATGCAACCTTAAGGACATACTGTTGCAATTAATCCAAGCTAAAGCATTAAAAATTTGTATAAGAGCAATAAAAACAGCAACAATATGCTCCCTCCATGTTGAAGCAGGAGAAATGCCTTTATGGCTCAGAAGAACAGCTAATAACCAAATACTGGATACATTTAAAAAGATATAATTGGTAACAATCAGTAAAGAGAGTTCTGGAGATGTGTGGGGAAAAGGGGAAAAAGAAAAAATGAGTTTTGGATCGGTCAGTGAGGGTTTGGCAGAACAACTAAAAATACAACATATGGAATTCAGGCCAACAGTTCAATAGACAACAATACCTAAATGGACATGTCGAGATATAAATGTAGACTTGAATACGTGTAACATCAAGTAAATAAATAAAAAAGCAGATCTTGGCATTTTTAAACTATGTAGAGATAAGATAAAGAGACTATGTGTATATTTACGCAGATGGGTCCAAAGAACAGGCAACAGGAGCTACAGCAGCAGCAAATGGTTTCAGAGGTGCTACGGAGCAGAGAAACGTCTACTTCTGAGTAACTTCTGCATATCGCCGGATTAAATTGTGTTTTCCTGCAAGTTGAGCCTTATTGTTGATGTGTTATGTCACCTGTGGTTATGGTTTCATGGATACGTTTTCTGTAACTCTGTAACAGTTGAGAAACCAAACTCCTGTTCTTGGGTAGTGAGATGACACCCAATAACATCGTGCTGTTGGACTACGGCTTTAACAAGACACCAAGTTTGCTTCCACTGCAGCTGCATTTTCTTCAGCTGTGTTGCATAAGTCCCAACATGACATGGAACTGTTGTCCTTTAACCCTTTAACGCATAGCGGTCACGGGAGTGGACGGCGTTTTAAAAGCCATTTTCCTTTGTAGATGTGGGGTTTTCTGTCGTATCTTTTTCTGTCTAAAGATAAGAACATTTCCACAATAACACACTATTAAGGAGGAGCTGAGATAGAGCAAAGCAAAGGTTTATGATTATGCATTCTGTGTCAAAATGTCTAAATATGTTCTAATAGTAACAAACAGGGCGGCACGGTGGTGTGGTGGTTAGCACTGTCGCCTCCCAGCAAGAGGGTTCTGGGTTCGAATCCCGGGGGAACCCGGCTTCCTCCCACAGTCCAAAAGGTTGATTGGAGATTGGGGAAATTGCCCTTAGGAGTGAATGTGAGTGGTTGTTTGTCCTGTGTGTGGCCCTGTGATGGACTGGCGGACTGTCCAGGGTGTACCCTGCCTCTCTCCCGTTGACCACTGGGATAGGCTCCAGTTCCCCCCGCGACCCATGAGGGAATAAGCGGTATTGATAATGGATGGATGGATGGATAGTAACAAACATTATTTTATAAGCAAGACATGTTAAAACGTAAGCCATCCGCTTGCGTGTGCATCTGGAAAACAAACCTTCAATAAGAACATTTATGATAAAAAACAACAATGTGAATATACATTTTTGTTTTACCTTAAGATAATCAAAAACACTTTGGGAAAAAATACCAACTGAAATGATCATAATTTGTGCGTGAAAGGGTTAACTAGTCTAATAACACATACTCATCGCATGTTGACAAAGCAGCACAACTCCACGGTGGCACACTTGCCACACAGAAAGTGTGTGGGCAAACACACGTGTGGCCTAGCACACATGCCTAGCACACGCTCGCCCTTCCAGTCACAGCTTTTTTCAACTATCAGACATTCTGAGTTGTCAGCTAAATTAGCCTCCTGCTACATAGCGGCTCATCTGTGCTCACAACCTTGATCTCCATGAATTGTCTCCCCGGCAGGTTTGGTTTCTGTCCTCCAAAACGTTGTCCATTATGACCCCTTCTAATTGTTTTTTTTTTAATAGTCTTAGTTTTATTTTGATTTTTGACTTTTTTATGAGTCATCACAAGAATTGGTAAAATTGGACTCTGATATTTTAACATTTTGTACCCAAAAATAATGTTCCAGTGTATATCGTATATTATTAGGGATATATTCAACTTTGCGAAAACATATTTTACCATCTTAGGCATTGGTTATTTTCAAGTTTTTATCATTATTATTAGATGTGGTCACTCTAATTCCTCAACCCCGTTATGGACACTTTGAAGGCTTTCTGAATATTATCATGAAATAAATTGGGATAGAAATCAACATTTTTACATAGATCAGATGTCCCTCATACTAATTCAATTGAATTTAAATTCAATTTAAATCATTTTAACCCAAAAGACTTCAGTGTTGTCACCTCCTGATGTATGTGCAGTTATGGATCATACCATTCTATTTTTGAGGGTGAGATCATTTGTGTAAAAGGGTTGGCTCAGGGACAGAATAGATGTCCATCCATCCATCATCATTACCGCTTGTTTCCTGATGGGGTCATGGGTGGAACTTGAGCTTATCTCAGTGGTCAACAGGTGAGAGGCGGGGTAGACCCTGGACAGTCCACCAGTCCATTGCAGGGCCTCTCCCCCGTTGACCACTGGGATAGGCTCCAGTTTTCTGTGGATAGCTTTGGTTGGGAAATAACTTTTCATAACAGGTTCTCTGCCTCAAAGAGCAAATAAAGACCTCTTTTTTAAACTTGATTCCTCCTGACACCTCCCAATTTATACACAAAGATTTTAGTTTGCACATCATTCTTGAGAAAACAACTCCCTATATGGAATAACCAAGGACATCAAGATGGGCAGATAGCCCAATGTTCCCAGGGGAAAAAAAATAAGTCTCACTCATCAGGCCTTGAAACTCAATACATTCTCTGACCAGTACATGACATTTCATAGTAACCTTTAAACAGACAAAGGAAAATAGATCAATACATTTTCTATTAAACAGGACAAAGTATTTTGTTTACTTTGAGTTTAATTCCTTCTGCGAACAAAAGAAACTGTGCCACACTTACTCACTACAAAAGGCCTCATTGAAACTTTTAACTTTTAACTCATACCATACAAGCTTAGTGGTATATTAACATTGGGCTTGATCACTCATTGATTGATTGATTGATGAATACTTTATTGATCTCTCAAGCAGAAATGAACTTCCAGTACCATGATCATACAAACAAAACAAATGGACACACCAGTTTGGAAAGACTGTGGGCAACCACTGAAGGGCGCACCGTTTTTCTTCAGAACAAAGATACATCAGAAAAGTGGTTGTGGGAAAAGGGGAAAAAAAGGCCCATTGCCAAGCCCCATACAGGGGACGTAACAGTGATTTAAAAAAACACCTCAGTACACTTAAGCACAGATACAGTCAAATCACAACACCAAGGACAGGGATGATCCATGGTTGATGTTAGGCTTCAGGAAGTGAAAATCTCAAGTTTTTGACAATATTACAAGCACCAACATTATATAAACAATAAAAAGATTATCTGAGCAAAAAAAAAAAAAAAAAAAGGAAAGTGTCTACCAAGCAAAATAAAATCCATTTGCTAATAGCTCTGAAAAATATTTCCCAGTTTTAGATCTGAACAGAAGAAATTAAATTGAAAAGAAATGAATAAAAAACAACAACCAACCAACTGTTTGCTGTACATATCCTCGGTGTACGAATCAATGTATTAATACTGGTTAAACTGTGACATTTTATTGTAACCCATAGATTTAGCTGTCATATTTGTCCTAATTTTAGCTTAAAGGTCAATAATGAGAAATGGTCAAAATTATCAACAAGCTAACCAAGAAATAAAAATATGCAGCAGCCAAAGCAAATATTATTTAATGAGTTAATAGAAGCCAAAACAAGAGAAGGATTAATCATTTTCCTATATTGAGCACTGTTAATCCAGACGAACAGATGCAAAAACAGGTCAATTATAAATAATTTACTAACTAAAATTTTATAGACTCCCTTTTCAGACCCCTGTCCGAGGTCTGTGTGACACAAGGCTCCTGTAAGAGACATTTAATAGCTCATGCTAAAGATCTGGTTTTGATGTTTAAGGAGTACTGAAATGTCGAGGAAGGTTTTTATTGATAAATGTTTGTATGACAAATAAAAATAAATACCAGTACATATACAGTACTACATGTCACAGCTCTGTCAGATTATACAGATTAAGTCTTAGGAGATGGTGGTATAACCCCCTGAAACTATTTTGGACAGGCTGATTTTCCGTCTTCTAGCATCAATCTCAAGGTACTGCCTTTAAACTAAAATAGTTATTTTATCTCGGATTAGGGCACAAGGCTTCCCAAAAGCTCAGGAGTTAAGTAACCGTCCGGTGTGGGCATGGTTTTTGGTGTTGTCAAATGGGGACTGGGTGTTGAGTTTTGCGTCAGTAGGAGGCTGTTCTTCCTGCCAACGCCCTCCACCACTGTGTAGACAGGAGTGGTTTCGAGCTGAAATGATGGAGACAGCGCAGCACTATGCTCTACTCCTGTTGGGCACAGTTTACATAGGTCCCCTGTGGATGGTTCTGGGTTCATACTTGATGTGTTGAGCTCTGAGGTAGAGTCTTTGCAATCTGCCTTCACCACAAGAAGCTGAGTTTCTTCCTTTTCTTTACCTTTGACCATCATGACAGCTTTTTCTGTACTGTTTTCCTCCATGTAAGTTTGTTCCTCGGGTGACAGTAACACCTTACCTGATGATCTCACTTCACTAACCTGGGTGTACATCACCTCACTCAGTGGTGATGTAAGAGAAGGCTCCCCAGTGGTGGTGTTTCGGTCACCCGTAATTGATTTGGAGCCTGCTTGTGATGATGGTTCATTACCGAGGGTCTGATTAGGTATGGCAGAATGGAGGGGTGATGCGTTCAAGTCACTAAAGAGATCGGGTTCACAGCTGGAACGGCCCGAATCATCATCTCTAAGGCTAAGAGAGAATTGAGAGCAATTAGAGTGCAGAGATCTATTCATGGGACAGTCTGTGTCTTGGTCTGTCGGTTTGTCTTTGTGCTCCTCAATGTCTAAATCGATAAATTCCACCCAGGAATCTTTGTTGTAAAGCTCCGGCCTTAAATCAAGAGGACCACTGAGGATTGATGCCAGCTCTCGAAGCTTGCCTTTCTGTGAGATAAAAAGAAGAAATCTTGATTAGGAATCCACATGAAAGTGGAAAAGGTTAGTTGGCTTCTTAAAACGAACTTCACAATCTATAAAGGTTTGGTGATTTTTTTTCTTTTTTTTTTCTTCAGTATCAGTAATTGGGATCTGAAAAATTATATTCAGAGTTTGTGACAACATCCCCCAAAAGACACCATTTAAAGCAGAAAACAACCCCACACGCAAAAGCTATGGTGTGTGAGTTAGAATCCAAGAAACATAGAAAAAGAGCATAAAAACTGAATTTTGAAATACTCAAAATTAAACTTGGATATATGTTATAATCTAATTCAAGAGGTGTAAAATTGCTAAATGAAAACTATCTATCTTGTGGAAGCTTGCTTCAAAAAGTGATGGTTAAAAGCTATCTAGATCTACAGACGTTCCAACCAAAATTTAATACCACTTCACCAATAAATAAACGATTAAATCAGTCTCATCTCATGGGTAGAGAATACCTTGAGTAATTCTGGGTCAATTCCTCTTATTTTAGGTCCAGGGACAGGAGGCAAAAGAATAACCATCAACCTTGGAAAAGAAAGAAAAAGTTGATTTAAGTTTCATTAAAGCATATAGTCCTTTTTAAGCAGGAGAATATACATCATCTGGTTTTGGGGTAAAGTGTGGTAGAGGCTCTAAAAGCTAGCTCTCTCTTTTCCCCAGTGAGTTTCACAGTGAATATTTATCTAATGCAGGTTACTGAGTGGACAGAATGCACACCTTCTTTTTTTTTACTTTAAGGAGTTAATGAAGCTAGCTTTTCACTGATTCTTTGATGCAGCTGTAGCTATTAAAGCCAGTACTTTTAGAGCTAATTTGACATAAAAGCTTGATATGAAGGGAGATTAAATGTCTAAGAAGAATCATTAAACTTTTATAAATGACAACTTAGAGCTGCTCTACTGATTAGCAACCAATTTTTGCTAACTTCTGCTAATGCTCAGTGGCTAATAGTTACAATACAGACAAAGTTTTGCTACATTTTAATGTGGCAAAGTAAAGTCTCCCAACATGTTGCTAAACTTACAGCCACTGGGACCACTAACCTACAATATTTCGGAACTGGGGGAGGGCAGAAAAAATATTTGCTGAATATTTTCAACTTTTAATGGTTCTTGTGTTGCAAAGTAAGATTTTTGCATGGGGGTAGAAACACTACAGAAAAATAATGAAACTTAATCAGTTCCTCACAAATATCACACCGAGAGTGAAATCCTTACTTTTGTTGCCGTGAAACGATAACAAACATCAGAATGGCCACGAAACAGAGGACTCCAAAGATAAGGAAAGCAATCACTGGGAATTCTGAAACTTATTAAAAAGTTAACAAAATATATCAAATCAAATCACAATACGAAATAATCATTTCAAATTTTCAAGAATTACAGGATAACTTTACTTTCAAATCATATTGACAGAAATTTAGACTACTACTTAGTGTCTTTACAAAAGTGCTTATTTCCTTTTTGATATCCTTCAACATCCTACTAGTCAAAGACAGGAAAATGTGTTTACCTTTAGATGGGATGTGGATGAATATAGAATCACTGAATTTTCCAAACTCTTTCCCAGCAAGCATTTTACATCGAACCCGCACCTCATGATTGACGTTGGTTTGAAGTCCGTAAAGAGAGCGATGTGTGCTTTTCACAAGGTCACTCTGTTGTGAAGATGAGGGATCATATTTCTTATCACAATAAATAGTTTAAATAAATAAAAAAAGGTTTCTGAAAATCAGACATTTGCTGGCATCATGGAGACACCCACCACTTCCCACTTGTCTGAACTGACACAGCGGTACTGGACCTCGTACTGAAGCGTCATCCATCCCATTTCAACGTCTGCAGACTGCGGAGGCTTCCAGCTCAACATAATATCATAGAATGTGCCGGTCAAGCTCACATTTAGCAATGTCCAGTTTAGGCTGACAGGAGGGTCAGGCTTAACTGCAAAGGGAAAAAAAAGTTTATCTATTATGTCAAGAAAAAAATCCATGGACTAATTTAAAAATGAATGCCAAAGGCAGTGTATTTTTCTAAAATGCACAAAATGAAATAAACTGTAATCTACTAATATATTCAATTGATTAATTGGCAGACATAAATCTGCAGAGCAGACTAGTAGTGACTTCATTGTGTGTAGAAATGAATTGTAAAATAAATTTTACATCATAAACACATTCTTAAGAGAAAAACAAAGATTATTAAATTTTTAGATTTGTTGGTTAAAAGTGAGGCGGTCAGGAACAGGTCTAAAAGGAGCTTCCAGCAAAGTTTTACTCTTTCCAAGCTGGATTGTTTGGGGAAATGCCATTGTTAAAGCAAAACATTTTCAAAATGTAAAGATCTGTCCCTTCATCCAAAAATGTGTATCTTCCGCCTTTAGTGATATTTCTCACTATTTACAAAAAACACATTCTGCTTCTAGTGCTAAAAATAGTAAGGGACGCCAAAATACTGAAAGTAAAGTTGTTGTGTGGTTACTTGGCATAATTCATAAAACCTCTTCTGTAATTAAAAGAAAGCTCAGTTCAAAACCAGAGCTATAAATCTCAGTATATTACTGCTTAAAGGTGACGGTCAATAGACATGTATGATGTATAATGAACCCCAGAATATTCATAAATATTTGTCTGAGAATGGCCAAAAATATGTATATATTTTGTGGGCAGTCTGACAATAGAAAACAGAGGCTAACCCTTAGCTTTGGATGAAGTTTCTTACTTCCTGAATACTTTAATTCAGATTGTAGTAATGATTGACTATTTGAAAGTATGACTTAAAAATCTCTCAACTATACTTGTTTAATTTGGTCTTACTCCATCTATGAGAGGAACATGAGAAGCAGGTAACTCACCAATGTCTTGAACTTCAAAGCTGACCTCGTCATAGCAGTCAGCTTTGTCTCTGGAGCAGAGCTGGATTCTGTAATTTGTCCAAATGGATGTGTGGTTCTCGTTGAAAAAACACTCATTTGGCTTTTCTATGCTGTAATGAGGACATTCATTCCAGTCTTTTGGGGGTACATTCAGGGGTCTGCCAAATGGGTGAGAAGTAACACAGACAGTTTAAAAATCTGATGAACAAAGTAGGTTTTATCTGTACAGCTGTTAGGCACTCAGAGGTATTTGTGGTCTAGCTGAGTTCAATAATTTCAAAGCCAACTGCAGATTAGACTAGAAAAAATCCTGATAAGACTTGAGAGCAGCTGTAGAGGAGAGTCAAATAACTATGGAGATATATGGAGAAAAGGCTGAACTATGCCAAATGACACAAGAAGTGGACATGAAATAATTTGCATCCAGAATTTTCCAGAGCCTGGGTTTCCACTTTAATAAGGCAGTTTGTAATAATCCTTGTGTGGATGGAACAAAAGTAAACCAACATCCAATGGAGAACTTTGGGATATCATAAATGGAATTTAGCTTTCACTATTAACAGAACTGACTACAGGCTATGCAATTCATCTTTAAATTTAGAAAAAATCCCAACAGTAACCCCAATGTTGACTTTGCCTTGTCAATAGAGAATGTGCTGGTATGCCAGATATGTTTGAACACTTTTCTTTTTTTAACACTGTACACACAAGATTTATCAAGCAGCCTTAATCAAATCAGATTGAGGGCATGTCATCACAGAAAATGTTTTGGCTGATTTATATAGTCACCTGGTTTATGCTGTCTTATGATGAACTGTCTTTATAAGCTTCAATCTATAAATGTAAGCATTGTTTCCAGTCCCAAGATGCAGGAAAATATGTGATTAAGAGATGGACACCATGCTGTCATTACATATTTTATGGTAAACACATGCACATCCTTGTGTGTACATGTGTTTGACAGTTTGTTTTTCATTTTTTTAAATGTATTGTGGATACACATAAGAACAACATTAAATGTTTTGTGATTGTTTTCCCTCACATTGTGTTGACGTAGAACAGGCGCAGATCTCCCGGCCCTGAGAGGTTCTGAAACGTGCCCACATTCCATCTGCAGTGGAAAGTCTCCATGTTTGTAGAGACACAACCCATGAAGTGTGGACGCTGCTGCACTGAGGCTATAGAGAAAGAGAGGAGAAGGAAGTGCTATGTATAATTACATTTTACAGTAGAAGTAGTTTTATTTTCAATATTTGTTGCCACTACAAACATTTTGCTGCACTGGATGGTGATTCAGCTATAAATGGGCAGGGAAACAGCTGTAACCTAACTCCAAGCGAGCAGCCAGGCCACATGGCTTTTTCCTGGAAGTTGTTTTACTGCCTGTCAGGGAGTTTACCGTTACCGCGGTCATGGATTCATCTTTGTTTTTGCTTTACTGAGAAACCCATTTCAACAGAAAGCGCAATGAGAATCGTGTTTTACTGCCTGCACAAATAGAAACCACATGTGCCTATCACATAGTTCTCCAGCTGTCAACAGCAGCAGGTTTTGAACTCAGTAACCGTTTCTGTATGTTGTGTTTGCATAGAGTCAAATCCAAATTAAACATAAAAATTATTACTAAACAAATTCCCATTTTGGTGTTAGAGCAATAAGTCTTTTTCCCTTAAAATGCATATTAACAGATGGATCTTGAAATCATTAAGTAATCTTTAGCTGTCACTGCAGTGCTAAAGGTGCCCCATTAAATTAGTCAACTGCATGTATGGTGCATCTGTGACTGTATGGTAATATCACCCCTGTTAACACAAATTGAGGATCCACATTTTAATGGCTGCTACAGAAAGAAATCCCTTTGTTAAAGTTTGTTGTGAGTGGATGAAAAAAAAGTTAAATTATAATAAAGCTATAATTTATCTAGAGGGAAAATAAAAAAAATACAATAAAAGAAGTGATTGATTTAAATAATCTGTCATGAGCTGGGATTTTACTAATATTTTTTTGGAGTCTCCCATGCTTTATTTTCCTGTTTTTATTCTGATATCATCCTCCAGTCTTTCTGTTTACTTCACTGCTCCTCAGTCTGTAGTGCTCCTTATCATGGCTCAATTGTTATTACCTGGTCGATTGTTGCTGCCTAATCACTCTTCCCTCCATAAGAGCGTTTCAGTTTCTAATTCATTGCCTGAGCCCTGCAGTATGTCATGTTTGTTTCCGTTGTTCCTCCTGAAGTGTTTTTTCCCTCCTCGTGCCCCTTCGTACCCCAGCTTCAGGTTTCCTTGTTTCTTCGTTCTAAGTTGTTCTTAGTTTTTGGTGTTTGTTTTTTTCCAGTTTAGTTTAGTTTAGTTATACAATCTTCAATGCGATACGAAGATGAGAACATAAAACAAAAACAAAACCTGTTCCTTTTTCCTAAAAAAGTTTTTTTTTTTTTACACTTTTTCCGGTTAGGTATCCATGGCATTAATCTGGTTGGATAAACAGGAGGCATCAGCACTTCTTGTCACTGCCCAATTTAAAGTTATGACAAAGATTTGAGCATGGCATTTCAAACTTGGCCTGGAAAATAATAACACGTTGTTCAACACAACTTGGTATTATTTGAATTATAAACCGGGTTTAACCCTTAAAATTCCTTCAATCTTCACCTAAAATCCCTAAAAATAGGAAGAAAAAATAGACATGCCAGCTGTGTGTCTTTATCGCTGAATGACCAATTACAAGAGCACATTGAGTGGATCATTAAGCAACACAACCTTGTTGTTGGATCAGTGTTTGCAACTGGTCTGAGACGAGTGTTTATTATGTCTATAGTTAGCATTTTTTCTTTATAACTGTATAACATGTAGGCAGAATTGGGATACTGAGGAGGACCCATGTTTGTTGTAAGCAGGAGGACACTGGGCTGATAAAAAAGGTTTGAACATTTATCAGTTCAGATACTGCATCAACATACAAGTGTATAGTCTACAGCCATTAAGGTATATTACTGTGTATTAAGCCATTAAAGTATATTATATGACGCTTATCACAGACATAATTATTAGGAGTGATTAGCTTCTCCCTGAGCTTTGTTACCTTTTTTTTCAGGAAGTTGAATTATGGTCACTTGTCTTGCAGCTTTGTTTTGCTTAATTTTATTATGTGAATTTCAACTTTCAAAAATGTTTCTTTTCTGGAAGAAAAGAACATTTGGCCAATGTTTGGTCAAGAGGGAGGCCTGCATAAAAGGAAACTATCTTATTAGGGTTTGTGGGTATGTTTCCAGTTGTGTGGTAGAAAGGTGAACATTAAATTATTTTTTTTCAGAATTTCTAATGTCGTGCATTCTAAATTAGAAATAAGTTTTTAACTGTTTCTACATAAGTGGCCCTGTGACGGTCTGGCGACCTGTCCAGGGTGTACCCAGCTTCCTGTCCATTGTCAGCTGATATAAGCTCCAGCCCTTCCACAACCCTATTGGGGGGAAAAAAGTATAGACAATTGACGAATTAATGTTTTATGACAAATTTGTTGATTTTTTTTCTTTAGGTCTGCTCCCAGATAGTAAACGATGTTAACTCAATGTTGAATTATGGTCAAAATGGTTGAGTTTTTGGTAAAGACTGACAATTAATCAAAAATCAACAATCATACAGTTGTAGCCTTTTAACCAGTGTAAAAATTTGTCATGTTGTTAGTTAATGTTATTTGGTCGATGGTTGAAATGCTAACGTCTAATCAATGTTGAATCACTGTAAGCTGTTTCTCGCATCCTCCTCCCTCTCTTCCCTTCCCATCCCCTCCTCCTCTTTGAGTTCTGTTTGAGAGTATTTTATCATTGGGCGAGGGTTTAATCATGTTTTGAATCAATCACTGTATGTTGAGGACATTGGGATGAGATTTTCTTGGTTGTGCATAATGTGAAGTCACAAAACATCTACAAGTCACTACAACGACTGGAGCGGTCGGACAGAGCAGGGAATCCTCACTAAGTATAAATCAATTGTTGCTGCTAATTCAAGAAAAAAAAACATCTCTTTAGAGAGCACAGATCATGTTGCAGGCTCTTCTGAGTGCCTGCTAGAATTACCAATGACAAAATTTCCCCTATATTTACCAACTACTTCAGAGTTGCCACTCAACAGACCACTATCAGTGATCAGTGTGAAAATATTAACTCGCCAGATGCACATTTTGAAAGTGTAGCTGAGGATGACAAGATTGAGCTTGAATATGTCTTCGAGATCGATGAGCATCATAAAGATTTGCTAGTGACAAGTTTAAAATATTAGGCAAGATCATTTTCAGTCTCTCAGGTTGCACTCATATTCAAGGGGGGAAATACAATCATCTTGGTAAGTCAAAGGGGTGCTTTCACATTTGGCATGTTTAAATTTACCAGCAACTATGAATACACTTATTTTACAGTTTAATATAGATGGTTTACCTTTATTCAGAGGTTCCAAATTCCAATTTTGGCCAATACTTACATGTCTCAAATGTAACTACACAAAGTCCCTATTTGTGGTCTATGCAAGCCAAAGCGTGTTTGTTTAGAGCAGTTTGTCAAAGATCTTCAGAATGTACAGTCTGAATTTAATGTACAGATTTCTTCCCTTTTTTGTGATGCCCCAGCTTGAACTTATATTAAGCAGACCAAAGCATTTATTGGCTATTTGAGTTGTGATAAAAGTTTTTGGGAGGGTTTTTCATTGTCTGTTTCTCAGACATGGTTGGTGAGGGGTGATCGCATTGGGAGGATTCCTTTTTTGGTTTAGTTAAGATTTCTATGGTTTCTACGTTTCCAACTGATTACATGCATGTCTTTTGTCTCAGAGCTACAAGAAAAACTGCTTAATATGTGGCTAATTGGGAACCATATGTCAACAAGAGTTCCTTCCCAAACTGTAGAAGCCATTTCCGATAAACTGCTAAAGCTAAATACATTGCGAATTCAACATTAAACCATGGGGAGGTACTGAGTTGCGTTTCCTCATGTTGTACTAGGGTCCTGTTGTTTTCAAGTTAATACTTTTACATTTTTAAATGTAAAAGCCAAAACTACAAATTAATTTTGCCCAAACTGGATGAGATTTGAAATTTGATCCTAATGTGTTGTGTTTCCATGCTAACCTGGCCACAATGGTCTCCATCTTTCTCTGGGTGTGACAAATTACAGGAAAGTACAGCCCTAATTTCAGGAAGCAAAATCTAACCTCTTTAGGAGAGTTTTTACACAAATGTTTGAGTTTGTGTTTTTACTTTTTCAAACATAATCACTGTAGTCAAAAACATGTTTAACACCTAGTAACCAGCTAAATCCCATGTCCTTCCCTTGATGAGAGTTTATTTCTTTTCCTCAGAAAGAGTTGCTCTGTACTTGGTCCTCAATAATTGTCTTTAAGTTAAGACTCCTACTACATGGATTTTAGGAAAAGTTACAAACTATGTGAAATGGTTCTAAGAAGCTTGCGGAACACAGGCCCAGAATTCCATGGTCACCATGGCTCCTCCTTAGGGGCAGGATGGCAGCATCTTTTAAAACAAACAATAACAAAAGCGGACCATCTAGCTCTTTCCATTCACATTTCACCACTGCTGTATTAAGGACATGTGAAATTTGTGGCAGTAAATAAAAGACTCCCAGACACTGACTGAAGCGGAACAACAATCTTACAAAATGGACAATATCAGGTGTGAGTTATTTAAATTATGTGTTTAACTAGCCTTCTGAATGTCAAAGTTCTCACATGATCAGACCAGAAAGGAGAGATTTTCTCAATTTCGTGCTTTTAAACATTGGATTTATTAATGAAAATATCCCAAAAAGTCGAAGAAATAATGATAATTGATCAATATTTGTTGTTATCATATAATATATAATTTCATTTAAACTGGCTTTCGAAACATTTTTCTAATCTGAAACTTTTCTGTCAACCCAATAAGAGAAAAAAATTGTGTCTGATAAGTTATCACCTTCTACTGAACCAGTACAAATTATTTTAGATTTTTTACTTTAAAAGCCAAAACTTCCAATTTATTGAACCAGTACAAATACTTTTAGTACTATAAGATTTTTAAATGTAAATGCCAAAACTACTCATTCATTTTGCCCAAACAGGATGAGACCAAATTTTATCCTAATGTGTTGTGTTTTCATGCTAACCTGGCCACAATGGTCTCCATCTTTCTCTGGGTGACAGATTACAGAGAAATACACCCCTAATTTCAGGAAGCAAAATCTAACCTCTTTAGGAGCGTGTTTACACAAATGTTTGAGCGTGTATTTGAACTTTTTCAAACATAATCACTCTTGTCAAAAACATGTTTGACACATAGTAACCGGCTAAATTCCATGTCATTCCTTAGATGAGAGTTTATTTATTTTCCTTATTAAGAGTTGCTCTGTGATTGGTCCTCAATAAGTGT